CCCCTTTGCTTCCTGTTACTTCACATGCAAATATCTCTATTGTTCATCTGAGCAATGTGAAATTTGTTCTCTAATAAGTTAATGTTGTCTTTCCAAAAATGCGTTCACTTTTCTTACAAAAAATTGATGTCACATTACTTAAGGTTTCTTCTACAGCAAACTGGGGTTCAGACCCCACTGTGGGTCCTAAAACTCCAAATTTTGGGTCGTTAGAGGATTTCCAGAAATCAAATTAAGTTTAAAACTGACTGCTAAGAATGTTTCTGTTATAGTTAGATATGGATAAAAACAATTGGTCTATTAGCAATATTTGAATACTTCAACCAAAAATACTTTGGTTTATGAGTTTATGCCAGTTTTTATTTTTTTATTTTTTTTGTCATTTGTGTTTATTATAAAATTGGTCTTAAATTTAATTTCACTTGGCATTAAAAAGTCTTAAATTTAACTTGCTTTAAACTGTAGGAACCCTGATAACAGGTCTGTTCTCGACGTGTAGTTTTCATCAACATCTGCTCCCACAGTCCTACGAGTCTCGTATGGGCATCTCTGCCGACACGGAGGGGGAGGAGGACGAGGAGGCAGCGGAGTCGCCCGACGACGGCAGCGACGACCAGCGAATCATCATCAAGAAGGAGGGCAGGGACGGAAACGCCCGCCGCTACTGARCCTATCTCTGCACGAGTCCTCATGGAAACCACAACTCACCAGTCACACACTCCAACACTTTTAATATGCTGACACCACATGTATAAGGAATGTACGCTTACAAAACACAACGCACAACACAATCACTGTAACACCCAATGCCATATGTGACCTATAGCCGACAACAGGCTGTTGTTCTCCACCTAAATGTTCAATGGCACAATGTATACAGTTAATGTAATCYAACCGCCTAAATAAACCCCACCAAAATTATATGTGGTGCACTAGATCTAAATCACAACATGGTGACGTGTCTGTATAGTGCAATGCTGGTTGAAAGGGACTGTTTTGTTTAAAGTAAAATAAAAAAGGATTGTATTCTTTGTTTATTGGAGGAAAAATAAGTGAGATCTGCAAAACTGGAACAAGGGTTTTAGTCAATTCTTAGGCAAAGACACGATCCTTGATCCCATACATGTTTGAAGTTCTTTATTAGACTGACTCAGAAAGTCTGTGCACAAGCTCTTTTCTCCCTCTTTTCACCATCTTCTGAAATATGCTTTAACCTCCACTGAGTGAAGACAGTGCAGTCGGGCCTCTGGTCACATATTTAGGTTCATTCCCAGTTTGTTATGGTGAGATTAGTTTCATTGCATCCTGGTTTCATTCTCCCTGGATCTCCTGACAATGTTGGACCAACCGCAGACCTCAACCTTTCACACAAGCTCTACATCTGCGACGCAYCATGAATCACAGAATAAACCTCCTGAGCGTTTATTCAGCGCTCAGTGTCGTGTGTCAGCCACTTCAAACTGGAGTCTTCGCAGAGTAAAATGTAAAATGACCTCTGACCTTTGACCCCATCTGCTGGATGACACATGCAAAACACACACACACACACACACACACACACACACACACACACACTCACACACATACACACACACACACACACACACACTCAGTCCATAACGCTACCTATGTTGTTTCCAGAATGTCCGCTCAGCTTGGGCAGTTTTGATTGTATTGATTGTAATGAATTTTCTGTACATATGATGAATATTAACAATATTATTGTTATATCTATTATTCTTGCGTTCACTCTTTCTCTTTTCTGCACATTTTCAAGAGGGAGCATATTATGATTTTTTTTCATTGAAAGAATCACCTTTCCAGCATCAGAAAATAGTATAATAAGAATAATAATAGTAGTAGTGATAAGGATGATCATCTCTGGCTTGATGAGTGTCTCTTTATTTGTGTGTAATATTGTTGTAATTTAAGAATTTGTCCATATAACTAAAAAAAAGGAGGGCACGTTGTTGTGATACTTCAAAACGTCTCACTCATTTAGAATTCAGGGTCTTTTTTTCACGTTTTACAATAAAATGCTTTTTTTATTATTATTTTGACTTTTTTTTTATTTCTGTCACGTTACCATTCCATTTATCTTTGGTTTAATGAATGTACAACTGTGTGCTTCTCCTCACCTCTCCCTCCCCCACCTCCCTGCCCTTTTACCCCATTCTCCTCTTCCTCTCCTCTCCCTCTGTGTCTCTAGCTGTCTGTCCGTGTAGCCTATTAATGTGCAGTGCTAAGGCTGTCAGTAAATAAAGCCTGTTGTTTTTTGAGTGTGACGTTGAGAAGGAACAAACATTGCATTAAATACCTTATATTATTACTATGTTTGAACATTACCTGTAATTAATGATACAATGCTGAGATGGATTATACTGACTTATTGTTATTGAGAACTGTCAGAAAACATTGCAAAATTCATAATAAAAGCACTATATGACGTCTCCACGAGAGGGTTTTCTTTTTGTTTTGGATGGCCCTCACTAAAATTAGTTTAATACTATAAATAAGCTGCTTGATATCTGTGTTTTCCCAAAAAACCAGCTGAAATTTGGACTCTAAAGCACAGGTCTCTCTCACTTCAGATAATGTCTTGAGATTTCATCACAGTATCTGCACTGAGCTGATTTATGGCTTCCTTCTTGCGTAATGGAGTTACATTCCTGGATGCAGTCAGGGCTTGAGTTGATGGTTTTCCAAAGGACTCCCAAGACCACTTGACTAAACTGATCATCGTAGCAGAAGTTATTTTTATGTATTGTTGCCACATCAGTTTGCAGCTTTGAACTTTGGATTTGAGTTTTCCTCAAACACCATCTCATATATATATATA